AATTCTTGTAGCCTTTGGAGTTCATCATCCACTCGTGACATAATTGCATAAGGTACCTATCGAGCCCGAATATAGATAGGAGGAACGGAGTTGTCCATTTCCAGGTGAACCGGCGGGCCCTTGAACTCGCCCAGATCTGCATTATTCCACTGAAGCGCCGGGTGTGACATCCATGGAGAAGATTGAACTACTGTAGTGGAGGTTCCCAATAGATGAAGTCCCGACACTTACAAACCGAGAGCGGGGAACCAGCTTCGGCCAAGCAAGCTATGTCCTCTGCAACCGTCAACCACGATAGGTGCCCGGTTCCGAAATCTGACTTCCATATTCTTGGCACCCAAAATTTGTATGGGTTTGCTGCTGTAATCACCAAGTTGAAGTCCTGGTAGCGGATTTAATGTTGTTGCTTCGGGCCATAACTGAAGAAAGGTATTCTTGTGGACAACTGACACCGCTGCCCCCGAGTCAACTTCCATCGTCAATGGCTTTCCATTGACAATAACCTGAACCATGATTGCAGAAGAAGAGGCAGCAGGTGAAGGTTGAGAAGATCTCTCAACGTTGTACAAGTAGTGTCCAGGAGGTAGGCCGGAAGGCGGAGCGTGGGGGTAAGTATTCCCCGATAAGGCGGGGTCCGGCTGAACCTCCTGTTTTCGTGTCCCATGTATCTGACCCGATTGCCCACTAGCAGATTCACCGCTGTCAGACACCCTGAAAACAGACTCTTGTTCATTTTGAGCCTCATTTTGATTTGACTTACCCTTTTTTTTAAATTTTTTGCCGAGAATTTTGGCAATTTTTTGCGACATGGCCGGTCTTGTTTCATGTCGTGCAAATCAAGGACGATGGGTCGATTATGCTTTCAGAAACACGGTGACTTTCAGCGCAGCGAAAACAGATGATGCCTGGTAACTGTGTTTCCCCTTAGGTCCTTGGCTTCTGCCTGATGCCCAAAGGACGGAAGCTGCCTCTGAAGTCATTTCACGGACGTGTTGTAACGCAGTCTCCGCTCGGGATGCCATTTCGACTGCATCGTTGAGAGTTAAATTTTGCTGCTGCAGCAGACGAGTACTCACAATGTCATCCTTCAATCCACACACAAGTTGGTTGCGAATCATATTATCTAATAAGGCGCCGAAACCGCAATGTGCAGCGAATCTACGTAGCTCCGCTACGAATTCACTAACTGACTGGCCGCTTTTCTGCATGCAATGGTGGAATCTATGGTACGCTGCAACCTCGTTTACTTGCGGGCGGAAGTGATCGGTTAGGCTTTTTATAATTTCGTCGAAATTGACTTCATCGACTTGTTGGGTGCAACAAAATACATGCCAAATAATACAGTTGCTCACCGCAAATGATGAAAAAATGTCCCCTTTTTGGGTTACCGTCACTAATGTTAATGGCAGTAAAATTAAATTGAAGTAATTTTACCCTTCTCGGCCATTCCATTGGGCGTGATATATCGAACACTTTCATGTTTGAAGATGATGCAACGAACGTGGTTTGAGCTATGGAAACTGTCGACGTGGATGTTGACGCACCTCCTGCTGTGGTCACCGGCATTGTGGAACAAGAATTCGTGAACGTTGAGAAATTGATGAAAAATGGCGGTTCGCCAAGTTCACGCTCGCTTGAATAGTCGAATACCGTCTGAATTAGCGGTCGAATCGTGAGACAATGACGACCTAACCTCAATACCCGCGTTGCGTATGTTCGTCGCTAACCATTCGCGAACGTGATTGCAATTTGATGATTACACATGTATTTGTTTTTTTTTTTTTTTACTTTTCTGTCACGTCGTTAATGTTTATATTTGCGACAATTTGTTCACATAATTGTATTTATAAATACATGTGCTTTAAAAAATGTCATAAAGTTTTTCGAAAATTCATTAATTTTCTGTGAAAACAAGCTAAGATTCTGCATTTCCAGAAACGCTCAAACGCGATTTTCTCACAAATGGCTCCAATTTTTTCTTCAATCTTTTCGGGAGGATACAAGTAGTTCTAATTGCACTCTTTAATATGAAGTAAAGTTGATTTCGGGGTGCTTTTTTTAAAAAAAACTACACAATTTTTTTTAATATCTTTCACGCCGTTAATATGCACATTTCCAGACATTTCTAAACTATTGCATTTGTGAGTTAAAGTGCTAAATTTATTTATTTATATTTATTTGTTTGTTTATATCAGGGAAACTGGACAAAAACCTGCAGGGACATTGATCCAGAGAAACTGGACGAAAAACTGCGAATACCGGTGGTCATTGACCACGAAGCTGAAGTACAATGAATATCACAGGTTCTTTAGAATTATACAATCCAAATGGTAAATAATACATTAAATGTTTGTTAAAATTAATATTACGTTCCTTTTGGACCCGTAGAACGTTAATTCTGATTATACAACGTACTTTAGAAATAATTTACTACATATAAGAACAAAATTTATTAACATTTTCGGTATTATTGGACCTAAAACACTAAATTTTCTGCCGAAAAATCGCCGTTTTTTCCTCAAAAACGAACAACTTTCTCTATGTAGATTGTGATAAATAACGCAAAGGTCATCAAGCACCATTTATATCACAACACAAACTTGCATTTTAATTGAAATACTAGACTCTGTAACATTCAGAGTCTACAATTAGTAGTAGACTCTGAAACATTTTGTTTAAATTTACGATTTTTTTGGTAAAATGTTTCTGGAAAACAGCAAAAATCAGTTTTTTAATCTGTAGTATTGTCTAATTGATTCTATATAAATAGTGCACTAATATTTAAGGCTTGAACCCCTTGCAAGATAATGTATTATCAAATAAGTATAAATTTTTTTAAAAATATTTAATGCTAGAAAAGCTTTCAGGCACTGTTGCCATGCCAATGAATTATGTATTTTTAAAAAACACAATGTATTTTTATTTACTTTAGATGTTATGATAAATAATGTTTATAATTGACCATATATTGTTTTTTTTATTATTGACCAGACATCCAGAGAAATATTTTATTTTCTTTTTGAATAGAGTGAAGTGAACATAATAGGAATTGTACACTGAGTGCTATTTCAAACAGTTTGATGAAAATATTTTGTACGGCTATACTGAAGATTTGAAATGCTGGTTACATAGCACATAGGTTTCATTGCGACCATTATAATTTGACATTACAAATATGATATGAAAATACAAGTTGTTGTAACAGTAATAGTTTCAAATAATACGTAGTGCATTTATTTAAAATTTCATCCTTTGTGCTTTGAGGTTTATTTGAAAATTTTAGTTAACAATTCTATAACAAAACAAACGTATCCTTTCGAAACAGTGCATCATCATAGATCCATGGCATCGTCGCATTTGTTTCATTTTACATGTACAAGTAGTATTTTAATGCACAGATAATTTTGTTCTAAATAATGATCCTATTAGTTATATTTTGCACTCGCTGTTATTCTGACTCTCACCCATTCATAGTTAATAGGTTAATAGTAAATATAATTCCTTTCTATGTTGGCCTCCTTTCTATATAATTCCTTTTTATCTTTCTATTTAAAAAATAACCTCGCCTTACCAACTTTGAAAAAGAAAATTGTTTTTATTTCATTTTTCTTTGTTCACATCGCATCAGTATTTTCCACAGTGTAAGAAGAAGATAAATTTCCACTGTGGTCTTTTTTTAAACTCACACGTTTCAGATTCGTTCACTCATCGGCTGTTAATGTAAATGTAATTTGCCATTTGAAAATTCCAATAATAAAGAAAATATCAGATTTTGGACGGCCTAGTTGAATAACTTCTCATAATTTTGGCATTGCACTACGTATTAACAGGTTTATTTTACCAGGCTCGTGGGCATTTATTTCGTTCAGCGAAATCCGGAAAAGGTGGGAAACACCAGTACGATCAGTACGATACTCTCTGCATTGGTTGCGTGATATATAGTGCGGTTCAGATCGTTGAAGATTTTGTTCAAAGAAGTCGCACAGTAAGTGTCATGAAGGTTATAAATTATTCTTAAGGCATTTAACCGTCGTAATTACATCGTGGTAGTGTGCTGGTAAGTATAGTGGTTAAACATTGAGAAACACATTGCGCGTGCTCAGTGCTCGCTCCTTGACAGAGGTTATTTACTCGGTGTTCACTTGTTGGGGCAGTTCATCCCGTTTGGCATCCAACTTGTACATCTGTTCAAAATCTTTTAACATTATTTTTGTTTCGGTGAATTCCCTTGAATCTTCCTTTTATCTTCGTAAAACCTCCATAAATGTTTGTATAGGTTTGTTTTATAAACATTTGATATTTACTTAATTTGAGAAATATTTGTGGTGGTTTAGGTTTGAGATTTTCTTGTGGGTCAGCACACACCAGTTTCATTTTCGTTTCATACTGTTTTGTAATGTCAGTGTCCACAATCAATGCTTACCCTGTGTCTTGTTGTTCATTATTTTTTTATTTATGGTGCTTTTTATATTATGTGTAATGAATATTTTGAATAAATTAAGGTTATATTAAAGACATTTCCCTTAAATTGTTTATAGTAAATCTGTTTTTTGTAAACTCTGCTTGATTTTGTAACTTGCAAATATACTTCGTTTGCCACTTTAATTGTTGTCTATTTGTAATTTAACAGTTGTGTCAATCTCCTTTTATAAAATTTGGGCATATAAGCCTTCTGGCCAGCAGCCTGCAAGCTTTTCAGTCTCCCTTATCTTTTGGATTTTACATTTTTTCTTTTAACAATCTCCTTTCATGCTCAACCAGTTTTGCCTATAGTCATATTGGATTTACTTTATTAGATTTTTTAATGTTAAAACTAGCGATGATGTTTAGTTATTATTGAATGCATGTCAAATTTAACTTTTCTTGTAGATTGGGTACATTTTGTGATTTGGGGTTTGCTTAGAACTATTTCTAGTTTCAAGTGATATTAGATCACTTTATTAATAACTAATATATTTATTTCCTTTTTGCAGGTTCCATTTGAATTAAACTGAATTGTAATGACAGGAAGAGACACTGTGTTTGGTGTCTTTTTTTATGCAGATGATCAAATTGATGTTGACGAAGTTAAAGAGCATTTCGGAAAATACGGGAAAATTGCCTTTGTTACACAGATCCAGAAAAAAGTTTTTGTTAATTTCAGGACAAGAGAAGAGGCAGAAAATTGCCTGGCTGATTATCCTGACCCTAGGTTTGGAAAACTAAAGCGTGGAAAATTTGGATCAGGTGAAACACAGAATTCTAAAGAAATGAGTAATGAAACAGGTTATAAAAGAAATGGGACCTTTTCATATTCAAAGAAGGTTGACAGAAATGAAAATAAAATGAATTCTCGAAGATCTGAATCTGAATCAGACGAAGCATCAGTGAAGAGTATTTGCAGATACTCGCTGAATGGTGATATGTACTCATCATCAACAAATTTACATTCAGTATCACGACTACGAGCATCAGAGAGAAAATCTATGCCTTATGAATCCAAGCGTAGCAGTTCAAATTTAGATGGTTTACCGCCTTTATTATCAGTTAATGGACCACCGCATTTACAGTCAGTTGATAATGGCCCACCTCCATTGCTGTCTGTTGATAGTGGCCCACCACCATTAATATATGCTCTTGAAATAAATAATCCTTCGACTCCAAGATCATCTCTTATTGGCTCCAACCAGCGTCCACCATTGCTTCCCACACCACCAATTTATATGCATCGTAATTTTAACTCAGAACTTACAGATACTCCATCTTCACATCATAATTCCAATCTAGTAGTACAAAATACATCTGATATTCCACCACCTCTAGTATCAGTCTATTCACATCCTATGAAACAAAGGCAGGAGTGCTCTCGATCATGTCTTACTTATGAAGATTATGTTAAAAAGTACGGAAATTATATTTTGATTATCAACCTACCAGAAGATACAAGTACAGAAGAAATAGAAAAAGTTTTGTATCCTCACATACCAGTTAGTGTATCTGCACCAGAAGTGACTAACATTAGAATGAGAATATTGTTTTGTCTTGTTACTTTCAACACCAAATTAGATGCAACTAAAGCTGCCAAACAGTTAGATGGAGTAGAATACCTAGGCCAATGCTTGAGAATGGTCAGACTTGATGAATTAATTTTATTCAATGATGTGCCGTTTTAACATGGTGAAAAATACTCTACAAACAAGTATTATTTATGTCTAAATAAAACCTATTGCAACATTGAAACTGATAATTAACCAATGATTTTTTTTATTTATTTCCAGTAATCTTTGTTAATTAACTGATATGATTCAGAATAAATAAGTTTAAAAATCTGCATTTGTTTTTCATTATTATTGCAGTTTAGAGTAAAATATTTCTTGCCAGTTTGAAACTTGTGCTATTAAACTACTTTTTAAAATTGAAATGAAGATAAAATTAAAGAATAAATATTATTGAAAGACTGGTCACAATATTCTCAAGAGAAATTTGTAAAATTTTCTTTTAACATTCACTTACACAATTTTGTTTATGAAACTACTGTTGCTGCAATGTAGCAGTCTTTAGTTATTTGTTATGAGTATAAAATTATAATGATTGCATGGCAACTTTTATGTCATGAATTCTCCTCAATAGTTTCTGAAACTGCTTTTAACTTGACATCCTATGTCTAATTTCTAATATCTTATAAAATCCATTTCTTAAAGAAATTCTATATTATTTCCAGAATATATGGCCTATAATCAAATAACATGATGCGGAATAACATTAAACATGTAATTTGAAAACATTCAACAAAATTTAATATTTTTGGGATCATTCTTTGAAAATGCATAATTACTGGCTTGATATATTCAATGGATTTTACACTTGTCTTAATTCAGTGCATTGTGCTCCTTTTAACAAAATCTATCAAAAACTGCTCCAATATGTTTCTTTAATTTTAAGTTTGCAAAGGTCATTAATAAAAAATACTAGGCAATTATAATGCAACACTTTTCAGTAATAGTTTGACATTATCATTGTCCTGTAATATGAAATTCTACATTGGCAATATTAATTATCTATAATATCATATCCTGCATTCTCAAGATTGTATTGTAAAGTTTATAACTGGAGCAAGATAGAAACTATGGTGTATTGTTGCTTTTGCAAATTATGACTATATGGTTTAGGAATATACCACCAAAAATGATTTTTCAGAAAGGATGTCTTGTAATAAAAAAATAAAAATTGATCTGGTCACTATAAAATCATGGAAAACTTTTGTGTAATTGGAAAATTTGATGGTATAATACTTTTTTTAATATTTGTAATTTATATTTAGTTTGTTTGGGGTTGAGGAATTTGCAAAATACAGTAACACTAGGTAGGCTTCCTAAATTTATTTCAATTGGCGACACTTGATTAAGAGTGGCAGGGGCCAGTCTTTTGACAAGTGAGTGTTTTTTTTTTTTTGAAAATAATTCCATGGTCAACTTCACAAAGCACTTTCCAGATTAATCTAATGCTACAACTATGTCGCTAGGGAAAGGGGCCCAAATCTACTTGTTTCTGAAAACTGTTTTCTTCCAGGAAATTATATACTTATAAGCACATTAGGTTCTATTTCAACATGAAATTTAAGAAGGGTTTTGGGAGCTCTAAGAAAATTTGATGTTTTTCCTACTATTCCATGTCACCTTAAAAGTAATCAATTCCTTTTGCGTTCATAGGACTTGATATTGAATCAAGTCTACTGGAGAATAGGCATTAAGTACTAAATGATGTTCAGATAACCATGTTTTTAAATAAAGGGTGCAAGGATACTTCAAATTAGGGTGGTTATTTGTTTTAGCGGGTATACTCTAAACAGTGGCCTGTGTGGCACATGCTGTCTGCATACCATAGATATGCCTCTGGTACAGGTACACTTTTACCCCTATTGAGAAAAATGACTTACTAATTTGTTTAATAGGAATCAAGAAGTAATTTATATAAAAATCCATATAAACAATAATATTTGTGTTTTGGGCTTTTATTTCATGTGGGTACATATGGTTCATATTTAATTCATATGGGTTTGTCTGCTTTTATTTTGTAGTAAAAAAAATTGCAATTTGATGCAATAAATTGTAATCTTTTATGTCATAAAAAGGTAATTCTTACCCTTTTGTCATTTAATATTTGAGACAATTGGTATTTTCATAGCAATAATTTTGCAACATGAACATACCAATTTACCACATAAACAAACAAATAGATGTTTGAGAGGTATGCATATTGAAATCTTTCAGTCTATTTTTACATTCCATAATTCTATTAGGAATAAATATTAAGACCATTAAAAAAAGAGATGTTTCTGTAAAAAGTAGTGTGTCCTTTTGTAATGCTGAATGGCATCCCAAGCATCTCTGTTCATGTCAAAATGGTTCAATAATAGACATACAAGTCTACAATTTATGTGGTGATTTTATTAAAGTACTAGTTGTCAGGATGCTGCTGAACTGGAGCTTAGCAAGCAAGAAATTAGAATGTGCGAGAATTCATAATTCATTAAGTAAATATAGAACCCACAATATTGAGTCGAGGCAAAACTACTACTCTGGCCTGTGTATTAAAGTTGCATGAAAATTGCAGGAGCTGTTGCAACACAAAAGCCTCTAATGTGTAAGTTTCAGGTGAGTTGTCTAGTAAAACAATTGATAGAAGACTGATTCATGGCGCTAAGCAAACATAGATTAACAATATTAATTATCAATTTCTTCAAATATTTGCCCATTTGTTGGGTATTTTTTACATTTTATTATTACAAGAATGGTTTTATGACTGTTTCTGAAGTTCATTCTCTTATTCATTATGACGTGGTGATAGTAGTTCATTCTACAGCTGTGGTAGGTAGTAAGTATGAATGAGGCAATATTATTCTAATCCACCAAAATGCATATTGAAATATTGTACCGTACGGATAATGCAAAAATTGTTAAAAAAGGGTACTACATCAGATACACACTTCCAGTTCTACATGGTTCAGTTGTGGCACTTCAAAGATAAGAACATTTTCAATAGCAAACATTAGTCCAACTAACCCCAAAGCATATTGGATTGGAATGGATCACTGATAGTTGTGGCTGCTAACACCAAAAAGGATTCTGATTAAACATAAAGGTGGGGCAATAGAAATAATGCTGAAACTTGCACCTCCCCCTGTAAATAAAGAAATACAAAGCTAATTTCTCTTGTAGAAATAATATGATACTTGTACTGCCCATTATAAATAAAATAACACAATGCTCTAATTTCTCTTGACATGAGTACCATCAGCAATTACCTAAACTATTATTCAAACATCTTACAACAGTTTGTATTGCTTCTTACACAGATGTTTACAGGCGTAACCTTCAATTAGAAAACTGATCCAAATCGTAGTCTCTAGTTTGTCATCTTTACTTTGGTGGTGATACAGGTTGATAAGAAATTTGTGAAATGACCACTATTTTTAATTTGAACATTCCTACTTAATTTAGCCATTTTTGTTTACAAAGAAAATTGATAATGTAATGTAACTGATGTTACTTTCAATAATTTAATATTAATGTTATAACATATTACAGTTTTTTACATTATCGATATTGTAACATACATTTACCCTAGCAGATCCAGGGGAAGAGGACCCATGCCCCCCCCCCTCCGAAAGGCCTTAAGTTTTCATTTACCCTCCTTTATTTAGCAAAAGTGATAAAATATTTATTTCCAAATTATGTAATTATTTAAACAATATTGTATCACATGTACAGTTCATAAATAATATACATATTACAAATATGTTTTTTATTTAACAAAATTCTGTTATGCCCCCTCACCAAATTTATTGGCTGGATCTGCCTCTGGACATTTAACATATTAACAATGATGTTATAGTCCATCCCCATTTGTAAACAAAGGTTCAAGTCATAGCCACATATTGGTCTTATACATTTTTAATTTTTCGCTACCGCTTATGCAGTATGGAGAAAGTTATGTAATGCTGCATGAAAAACAGAACTTTCAGCAGAAAATCTCTTATAACAAGGCCCAGGTAATGAAAAAGTGGATAAATCCAGTTGCTAAATTTAATTAAAAATGAAAAAGTTCCTCCAACACATGGTGTAGCCAGAATCCATGTTTTGTGGGTCCTTGATGCCAAAAATTTGATTGACTGCAAAACATCTGTGTACAATGCTAGAGGCTTAACCTTGAATTTGAAACCAAGGGGTACCATTTTGAGGGGTACTGGACGTGAAGCCCCCAAGACATTAAAAAAACGGCTTAATCATTTTTAATTAAATTTTGTTGTGGAATACTGTGAAGGACATTTAAAAAATGGTGTAGGTCTTATTTTCATTGAAAACTGATTTTGCAAAAATTAAACATTTTTTCGGCTTCTCCCTACAATTACAATTATGAACATAGAAATATTTTCTTCAATAAAATTTGTTCCTTAAAGATAGATTTTGAAATAATATCATGTATATTTTTACAAAAATTTGAGTACTTTTCACATAATTTGTGAAAAAGTATGTGCTGTTTTAGCACCACTAGTTTTTATTTGCAATCAGACTTATTTCAGGGTGAGGCAAAGTGCCTATCAAATTGCATCTTGTGCACAATTCCTTGTTCCAACTTTGCTTTCTATAAATTTTTGAGAGAATTTCCTATTTCTGCTTTAGAAGGGTATGAGAACTGTTGTGCTAAAAGAGATTCACACAACACCCAGAAAATAGAGAGAACCTGATCATATAATTATTTTAATCCGTTTTGACTTTCCTCTTTGAACTCCCCATACCAGTATTTCATTAATGAATCTGCAAAGAATCACCTCGCTTCATTACATACTACTTTCCCTCTTGTATTTTCATAAGGAGACTTCTAGATAATTACATTCACACTTAGTAAACTCCACTTCGAAACCACTTAGCTGTCTCACAGTACCATACATAGTGGTGCCACATAAATGTTTGAAGACCAGTTGGTATTATTCTTGCTTTTAAACACAATCATTTAAAATTATTTTAAAATGTATTTAAAAAATTCTGAGTAATAGTAAAAATGAAGCTGGAAAGATTGAGGAGCGAGGAAGAGATGGATATTTTCATAATTGTGGAAAAAAAAATTTAATTTCCATACTTCACTTTTATGTTATGTGTAATTTAACATGTGA